CACTGCTTGTGAATCACTAGGCATCGGTGCCACCGTGGTCAGAAAGAAAGGTGCTGTTTAGAAAACAGCAGTAAAATTCACCTTCTCACAAGAGTGGGCATCAGTCATGTTCTGCTTCTAACATGGGCCACATTTCTCCAAAAAAGAAAGAGGAGCCCTGGTAGGGTAGTGGTTACGTGTTGTTAACCATGAGGTTAGCAGTTCGAAACCACCAGCTGCTCCACAGGAGAAAGATGAGGCTTTCTACTCCTGTAAAGAGTGACAGTCTTAGAAACCCACAGGGGCAGTTCTACCCTGTCCTGCAGGGTCACTGTGAGTCAGAATTGGCTCAATGGCAGTGAGTTGGATGTCCCTCCCACCTTGATTTTTTTTTTTAAGAATTTTTTTTTTTTAATGGCTAAAATGTAAAACACTGATGGGTGTACAACCATGTCATCTGCTAGAAGCCCCCTTTAAAACCGGTGTTGTTTTATTACCTGCGTGTGTGTGTGTGTGTGTGTGTGTGTGTGTGTGTGTGTAAAACTGGCTGTGGGGAGGAGGCTTGGGCAAAATCCCTAGCTCTCAGCAGGGTCCAGAGTACCGAAAGAAATCTGGGGGGACTTCAAAAAAGTCCCACCACTTCATTGGTGGGCAACTGGAATGCAGAGAATGCCATTTTATAGTGTATCTAGATGTGGGGGAGGGTTTCTTGGGGGAAGGAATCCATTAAAGGGAAAAAAAAAAAAAAGGCCAGAGAAGCAGGGCTGAAGGTGATGGAAAGGGTGAGAAACAGTGAGTAGCTAGGAGCTCAGAATCCTTTTTCTCCATGTAGCCTTATTAGGCCCCTTTGAGAACATTACCAAATCGTCACGTCCACACTTGAGCTTGCTTAACGAGTTCCGGTCAGGCTGCTGCCCCCCCCAGAGCAGTCCCAGTATTTACTGCAGACCTGGTCCCTTCTGCCTCTCACTAGACAAGCCTGTTTCAGACACAAATCAGGGAGAGAAAAGGGGGGGGGGGGGCAGGGGCAGGAGGATAGAAATAAACACATCAGGACACAAGTGCTGCAGTTTCTGCTGGAAGGGTGCTTCCTGCAGCTCTCCCACTGGTGCAGGGCCTCTGCATCTCAGTTCACATGCAGATCTGACACTCCTCCCCCCAAGGTAGATAAGGGTTCAATCAAAGCAAATCCGATTTCTAAACAGCTGATGCTGTCTCTGTAATCAGCTTTGAATTTGTTTTTTTTGAGGGGTGTGTGTGTAGCCCATTTAGTGTTAACATCCTCAGTTGAGTCCAATTTGGCAACCTCCGGATTCTTAAACGGACCAATCTACAGACTGGGCATTTGGAAGCCTTCAGGGGCCTTGCATCTTAATCAGCTGCTTCATTTTCCACTTGAGGAAACTGAGGCAGGGGTACAGGGCCTTGACCCTAAGCCAATGGGATGAGGCAGCCTGGGAAGAAACAGGTTTACCAGACCACACGGCCCACCCACAGGCCATCCAGATTCTGGAGGTCAATCCCACCCCTCACTCTAGAACCTGGGGGTTAAAGGGGTAATTTGAGGAGCTTATCCCCTGACTAGGCATGGGAGCCAGCCTCTGACGTCACCAGCTGGCCTCTGGAAGCTGAGCATGACTGCCTAGTTACTAATGGTCACCTCCCCCCTCCCCCTCCCCCCAGCACCAGTCTCCTCTCAGGGGGCACCTCTCTATGAGAATGCAGATAAACAGAACCCATGCAGATCCATTGGAAAACAAAAAACACCTCATTCTTACCCACAACGCTTGGTGCAGCTTACATCCTCATTAAACCTTCCATCCCAGCTGCAAAAATGAGGGAGGGCCAAGGAGCGCAGGGCCGTAAGCAATGGGGGGGGAGGGGTGTTGAACATATTCAAGGGACAGAAACAATCTTGAAAACAATCATGCACAGTCAGTCACCCTGTCCTGCAACCCTGATGCAGAGACGAAAAGTTCCCCTTTTCTAAACTTGAAAAGCAAGGCGGTGCTGGGTGGGCAACACCACCCAGTTTGGGGAAAAGCCACACGATTTCCCCCCCAGAGAAACCCAGTCAGTCGGGCAGAGTGGCCCACCAAACACAGCAGGCTCCCATCAAGCCAGCGAGGACTGCAGCAGAGGGGGTGGAGGGGGGTAATCTAAAGAATTGACTTATTCTTGGCCCCTCCTTCCCCTTCTGGAATATTCCAAAGTCAGGGTGTGTGTGTGTGGTGTGGGGTGTATGTGTGTGGTGTGTATAGTTGGGGGGGTGTCTTTGTTTTCCGGAGGGGGTGTCTCACAAAAAGTCCGTGGAAAAATTCCACTATGTTTGCATTCTTTTTGTCCACCCCATTTTTGAAGCGCCCTGGTTAGGCTGGAAGCTCTGGATAGTGTTTCTTCAGCAGGCAGAGCCGCCTGAGGTCAAAGGGCAAGCGAGCCCATTCAAATGCTAACCCCAGCTCTGCCCGCCGCCTGGGGAGACAAAGAGCCTGTTGGGGTTGGGAATGCTTGGAGAACTTGGTGGAAGCAACTCTTGAGGAAGGCAGGGAACATAGTTTCTCAGGCACTGAGGCTCCCATCTGCCTAGCAGAATCCCTCAGCCCAAGGTGGGGCCCAGGGGGGTGGGCACAGGGGCTCTGTTGGCCCCAAGAGGCTCTCCCCACCCCCTCTGGGAGCCAGCTGGCCGAGGTTTTGTGGGCTGGTGGGGGAGTGGGGGAGGGGCGGGCAGTTTGGCCCTGCTGGTTTAGGGAAGGGGCCGGCCCCACGAAGGGCAGAGGAGTATTTTCCCAGAAGAGGACCCTCCCTCATGAGAGGGGTCTTCGTGCGTGCTTACCGCCCCTGTGCGCATGCTTCTGCGTGAGAAACAGACCGAGGTGGGGGAGAGGAGTGGGCTAGTCACCGAAGATCTTTTCCTTTTTTTTTCAAACTTGTTTATTTACCCTGCGACAAGGCGGCATGCTAATTTCTCTAATGGTAAACACTTAGATTTGCAGCAGTACCTCCCCCCCCCCCAATTCAATGGTGATGACGCTGCCACCCACACTGTTAACGTAGATACCCTCTTCCCCAAATTCAGCCAAACTTGGCTTCTCTTGCCTCTTTATTGAACATAGGTTGGGGGGGGCACAATTCAGTCTTGGGGGGGGGCAACAGCCCGCCACCAATCCAAGGGGCGGGCGGACATTGTTCACAGCCCGGGCCATTTCAGCACCCCTCATTTCCCCTGGGCATTTTCCAGCCAGAGACCAATTCTTTAGCAGGGCGGAGGGGGGTGGGGGTCCAGACATTGAGACCCTCACTCCACCCCAGCAAAGCCCTGGGCTGAGCAACTGCCGCCCCAGTATATACCAGCCGTAGCGTAACACTAAGTTCTGAAGCTGCTGCGCCTCTCCTGGGGGGCGCTCCTGGAAGAGGCACCATTTTAAAGTATTTTTATTTATTTATCTTCGTCTCGCCGCATCCTTTGCTTAAGATTGTAAGCACCGGGCTGGTCTTTGATCCTAGCCGGTTCGCAAACAGCCCCCCACCCCACCCCAAATCATTCTGAGAACAGAAAAGCTCCCGCGGGCGCGCACAACGCCATACAGCGCGCATCAGTCCCCAAATCGGGAGAGGTTTTTGCAAATACATTTTACTTGTCTGCCTTGCCCCCCCACCCCACCCCCGGTTGGTGAGCAAGGCAGACTCTGTGCAGGAGGTTGGCTACCTGCTAGCGACTGTTTTTTGTGCTCAGTCACCGGCGCACTTTCGCCACCACGTTATAGATTTCAAAGTTAGCTCTCCATCCGAGCTGAAAATGGCCGGTGCGCGCCGCCTCCCCTCCCCAAGCTCCCTTATCCACGGCTCCCTTCTCCCTAAAGACTGACCACCCAAGATCGAGAGCCGCATCTAGCACCTTTCCCGGGTTCTGTGTTTAGGGGTGCTGTGTTTAGGGGACGCGCGGCAGAGTGTCGTAGCAGAAAGACAAAAGCCCCTCTCCAGCCGGTTCCCTGTTCCGCTTTTCATCCTTGTGCTCAGGACCACCTCGCCGCTGTCTCAACCTCTCTCCCGTCCCCCCAGGACATGGCCCAAACTGCCCCGGCCTTTTCCACTCAAACTGCTACCGGCCCCGCCGCCTGACCAGCTGCGCCACAAGACTGGTGATGCCCCGACGTAACCAAATCTGCGTCGCCAACCCCAGTAGCCCAAAGGGGCACTTCCCGATGCCCGCGTACCTTCTATGCCAGGTCTCCACGTATGGGCGGGTGGTGGGGAGCTGCTGGCCGGCCAGAGATGTCTGTTCTGGGGCGCACAAGCAGGTGCGCACGCTCTCTGCAGCCGACCGGCTTGGCGCTCGGCCGGGTGGCTACCAGGACTGGCGCGCGCAGCCGCGGGGGCACAGGCGCCGAGGTCCGAGAGGTCCGGCAGCCAGGACCTGGGTTCCAGGCTCCGAGCCCCTTGAGTGCCGCGCGGTGCGATTTTTTTACCCCCCCTTCCCAGGAGCCGGCGGCCTCCGAGCTTTCACCCAATCCCATTCGGATTACTTTCCGCACATTGCAACAGTGTCGTTACGGCGCGGTGGCTCTGGCTTTGTCAAAGTTTGCGCGCGCACTTGCTAGGAGCACGTTTTAGGTGCCGGCCAAGGCCAGCGCTTTTGCTAGGAGTGAAAAAGTGTGGAACACAAGTGACTTACCGGTGCCAGTTGGGTGTGCGGAGCTCCGAATCTGAAGCGCATCCAGGATTCAGTCGCGGGTCAGTGGCACCAGCTCAGAGACCCAAGGCTGTCTCCAGCAGGGCGCAAAATGCGCCCGCCGTCCAACAAGCCTGTGATCTCCGGGGCACCCCTGGCGCCCTGGGGAAGTTTGGGGGCCCCTCGCCACCTCGCCCCTGCTTGATTCCCCCATCCCTGGGCTGGCCAACCGATCCCACGTTCTTCCCGCGGTCCTCCCAACCCACGTCCCTTCTCCCTCGCGCCCTCCCGTCTCCCCTCACCGCCCTCCGGACCCCGATTGAGCAATGGGCAACTAACCTGAATCAAAGAAAACAAGGAGAATCTGGACGGCGTCGTCCATTAGTGACGCCGGATGGGGATGGGTCCCCTCTTGGAAGGGGACTCCGGAGATGGGTCGCGGCGGGCGGACTTCCGCGGCTTGCAGCGGCGCTGCTGCTTGCTCTCCTCCGCTCTGGGTTCTTCGGTCTCCTCGGGGTCCCGCGGGTCCTTTTCCTCAGGCTGGGGCTCCTCCCCCTCGGTGGGGCGCTGGGGCTCCTGAGTGCTGGGCTGCGCGCGGCTCGGGGAGGCGTCGGGGCTTCGCAACTTCAGCGCGTGCAGACGCTCAGTGAGAGACTGGCCGAAGGTGGGGCGCTGGGGCACCACGGGGCCGCGCTCGTCCTCAGGCTCGGTCTCGGGCTCAGTGGTGGGGGCGGTCTCGGGCTCGGTCTCCAAGTCGGTCTCGAGTTCGGACTCGGTCTCCGTCTCGCTCTCGGTCTCGTAGTCGAACTCTTCCTCGTACTCAAGACACTCGGGGATGGACAGGTCGAGGTCGGAGTCGGCGTCCTCGCTCTCGTGGTCAGACTCGGGGGGCTCGGGGATCACCTGGGCAGCGGAGCGGTGGTGGGCGTTAAGGAAGCTCCGGCGCTGCTGGGCAGCTGCGCGCTGCTGGGCGCGAGCGTTGGAGGTGGCCAGGGCGCGGAGGAGCGCGATGGAGCAGGAGAGCCAGAGGAGCGCGGTGGCTGCTCGGCGGCCGATGGGCGGGCACAGGTCGTTGTAGCTGTGGCGAGCTCGGCGCCACTGCTGAGCCCGGGACCTACGATCCATCCTCAGGCGCACCCCGAGAGGCCGACCTGCTCCCTGGCTCTGCAGAGAGCGGCTCCGACGCGCCTGGGCTGCGGAAGCCGAGGAGCGGTACACCTTTCAAGATGAGAAGCTGGGTCCGAAGATCCCAGCTCCACCTGAGCCCGAAGGCGGAAAAAAAAAGAAAAGAAAAGAAAAGAAAAGAAAAAGCAGCAGCGACTTAAGAACTTTCTAAAGCTCCGCGCCTCTGCCAGCCTCCCTGAGCTAAAGAAGGGCTGAGGGATAGGAGGAGAAAGCTCCTCCCGGGTTCCTCTCACCAAGTCCCAGACTCGAAGCCTGAGACTCGGAGAGGGGCCTCCGCTGTTCCTCTCGCCTGGGAGAGGAAAGAGGAGACTGAGGCTCGGAGAGACGGGCGGAGAGGTTCAGCAAAGTTGCGCGCCCAGACTTCTGCCGGGCATGTGCAGTAGGGAGGCGGGCCCCCCTCCTCGCGAGCTGCGCGGTGGCGCTGAGCCCGTGGCGCAGACCCTGGCGGGCCGGCAGGTGGCAGGAGGGAACTTTGTTTGAAAGGATTGGGGCTGGCGAGGGATGTGGTGGTTGGCGGGCGCTGGAGAAAAAGACCCAGCGAGCTAGCCACAGGTTAGGGTGCCCGGGCGCGGGTCTCCCAGGGTTGCGTCCCCCCTCCCCAAATTCTCCAGGGTGAGGGATACCAGGAGGAAAAGCCCGAAACCCAGTGAAAATCAGACCATGAGATTGCAAATATTTTGGGGGAAATGAAGGATCTAGCTCCTGGCATTTTCCCGAAGGCTTAATGGTTAAGAGGATGGTGACCTGGGGTGGCTATTGGTTTTTGAGAAAACCACCTTTGGCTGATCTGTTCCAGTGAATGTAATTAGGAGTTTAAAAAAACCCAACACCCCCCCACCCTCCCACTTGGTTAAATGGTTTCATGGACCAATAAGAATCTTCCTCAAGAAGTTTCAGCAAAGACCGGGTCATGGTAAGCCTTGGCAAAGCCATTCGTCGGGGGACCACCGTGGGCCTCCACTGGTCATTGGAAGACAGTCATTAGCTTGACCTGGTAGGTAGCAGGAGTCTTTTGTGCAAAGCCACCCTCCACCTCCCGCTAGTCGATACATGCAACCAGTTCTCTGGGGTGGGGGGTGGAGGTGGTCTCCAAATGGTCCCTTATCAAAGAAGTCTCTTTGGGTGATCCCCAAGACTGCTGTTACTTAGACTCTTCAACAGGTAAATTCACTCAACCTGTTTCTATTCAACGCCAACCCCGGGCCACGATCTGTTCTAGGGAGGAGAGTAGAGAACACAAAAGCATGAAATAGAAAAGAATGCTTCTGACTCAAATGTGTTTCCAATCAGAAGATTCGCTTGCTCGAATTCTTCCTGCTCACCAGCATAGTCTACGTCAATGAGTTCTTCGGGAGAAGCGATGGAGTGAATCAGAACAGTAGAGCTAGGGATGGCCAGGCACCACTAGGGGATGTTGTTGAAGCTCAAAGACGACAGAATTGGCGTCCGTCGCTGACGACAGTCCAAGGATGATCTTGGCGCAGGAAAGCCAGCCTTGCAACCTGATGGCTGCTTGTGGGTTGTGAGTGTCTGCAGTCTCAATAGCTCCTGTATCGGGTAGAGAAGGCAGCTGCTGCAGACACACAGGTGCTGCCCGTCAGTGCCGAACCACCTTTGTAGAGACCATGGGAGGGCCAACAAGGTACTGGAGCTGAGTCACAGGCCATGGGCTGGGCTTTCATCTCTCCTTCCGTAGGGAGAACCGTAATGAAGAGACCCCACCTCTCACAACTCTTCGACTTCCCACCCACCTCAAGGTGTCCACCAGGGCATTCCCTAGTGGTGCTGGGGCCTGGTCCGGGAAAAGGCTCACCCCGATGCCGTCTGTCTACACAGAGCTGGTCCTTTACCACTCTGCGGTGTTGAAGTTTTTCTGTCTTCCTTGGGGCGGCAGGTGGACACACTTAGGTGTCCTTGACCTGGCTCCTGGGCCACGTCTGCCCTGTGACTGGTGTCCTGCAAGCTAGTTGGAAACACGACGTCACTGAGTGATCTAATGAAGCGCGATTGCTCCGAGATACTCCTTAAGAAGACTGTTTTGTGTCCATCGGGGCAGAGAGACGGATGGACTCTTGGAAGACCCTAAGACGCAAGTCACCATGTGCTGTATGGGGCTATTGTTAAAAGACGTTGCACAGCGGTATTGGGGGGCGCTGTGTACGCTACCCCTCAGCACCAACTGACTGTGTGGGGGTGGGTGAGAAAGGAGGGGGAGTTCTTCTAAAGATTCTGTAAACATCGCTCTACCTGCTTTCCAATGACCCACACTGGAAGTGTAGAGAATACAAAGACGTCAGTCGAGTGGCTTTTCAGGGCACATCGGAAGGAAAGAGAAATCGGGGAGGACGTGGGTGCTGATAAAGGCCCTTCAATAGAAACTCCTGCCAGCTGTCAGCGCTGCAGTGGCGTATGTCTCTGTAGCATGCCCAAGGCAGTACTCCGGCCTCCAGGTAGAGTGCCTATAATGGCCACAGCGGCTCAGAGCCGAGGCACCCATACAGACACACCGAGATCGCCTGCGTTATTAAAAAAGAAAAATTGTACCTTACATAATACATATTTTTGGACCCAATTCTGCATCAGTAATGCCTTTTCCTTACAAGGTGCATTCTGATCAACCAACGGGCATTTCAGAAACCACCATCAACCCAAGCATTGCGTTGGAGAGCCCCGGCCATGTCGAGTCTCAGACACACTTGAGCATGCGTTCAATACAGGCTCCCGGAGGCTCGGGATGAGTTGGCGGAAATGCCACTGTTCCAACCAGCACTTAGAGCTGCCCAGAGCAAATGGGTCTGTGCAGAGAATGCTCTTTAAAATGCATTACGTGCATGACTTTAAACAGTGCTCGCCGCAGAGCAAATTTCAACCAGGGGCAGGCCAGTGATGGACGGCCTCGGGTGTGAGCAGGCTCGGGGACAAGGGGTTCGCCTGCCTGCCGGCAAATAAAGTGCAGTCATATATCACCTTGGGGAGGAAGGGAGGGAGGTACCCAAACCTGTTGGGCAGGAAAGGGCCGTTCTCCAGCTCATGACTGCAGCGTCACACAATCAGGTTCTTATTGGGATGAATTGTGAAGAATATTGGTTTCAGATTCTGCAAGGATAGTCATGTGGAAGAGTCGTTAAGATTTACAGGAGGCAGGCAGCTCTGATGGGCAAAATTAGAGCCCCCGGGCGAGAGTGACAACAGGTTTCAGCCCAGCCCTGGGAAGAGAATTCCAACAATTAGGACCAGAGCAGCATAGGCTGCTGGGAGGTTGTTGGCTGCTTGTCAGAAGTGGTTTTAAATCAAAGGACAGATGACCACATATTGGAGATGTTTTCCATAGGACTCATGAGCCCGAATCCCCTGCACCTTGGCCTCCGATTCTGTGAGCGGCACCTGGTGGGCCTGGGAGAGGGTCCTGGGGTACTCCTGATGGGCAGGGTCTTCTGCCTTAGCTTCTATTTCAGAGGTGTGGGGCAGGGCGAGTGACTTCTGTGACAGGAAGGAATGTGAGGGTGGCAGTTTGAAGACACGGGCAAACAGGTGGGCAAGCAAGGCTACGACGGACCCAGCCAAGCTTTGATTCGTAGGGCAGAGCTCTGAGCACTTTGCCCCCTGGCTGGCTCACTGGTGGAAGCTATGTCCGTCCACTACCACATTCCCATGGCATCCTCAGAGATTGAAAGTGGGATTGGCTACTTAGCAGCCATGCGCCAAGCCCCCCCCTTGTGCGATCAAGACCCTGTGCCGGCGTTGTAGGGAGAGCAGAGTTATGCAGGTCTCGCCACTCCCGCCCTCCGCCAACCCGCGCCTCGAAGATCAGTGTCCCCGATAGAGAGGAGCAGACCTCAGACATGAGCGGAGCAAGGACTCCCACGCCTCCGGCTTGCCAGACAGGAGGAGGAAGCTGAGTAATGGCAAGGGAGAGTTGATCTGGCGATAATGTTATTGCCTTTGGAGATCTTCCTTTGGTGTGCTGAGCACCACAGGAGAGCTGCCCATCCCTGTGCTGGGGAGGGGGAGGGACACAGGAATCACTTGATATCTCTGAAGACGGGAAGGCTTGCCACAGACAGGTCTCCTAGACACCAACATGTTTTCCAAGACGAGACACGAGATAAGAGCCAGTTCCTGGGCACAGTCCCCTCTGGAAGGTCTTGGCTGGACAGTCCCTGGGAAGCACTGATAGGGGGAGGTATAGGGGAGGCTCCTGAAATGGTCTTCTTGGTAGAAATGAACTGTGCGAGCTGCAAATTGGTCCTACCGCTTGCTGGGGCCATCAGCCAGGCACTGAGAGTTTGGGGTTGGACCTTCCAGCCCTGAAGAGGTCTGGGGGGAACACAGGCATCCGGCTCATTTCTCGGGGGCGTGCTGTTTTGCTGTTTGCGAGGGTCGTCAAACAGCTCCGGACTTTGGGATTGGCAGGAGAGGGGATATCAAGAGCTAAAAGCCAGCAGTAGGGGAAGCATTCTCTTCTCTGTGTGGCTGGCTTGGCCAGGCCACTGTTGGGATTGTCCCCTGCATGTGGGCCGTCAGCTTTAAACGTGAGATGGGTCTGAAGAAGGATTCCTAAGGGCTTGTTAAGGAGCGGGGATCCTTACCTCCAAATTGCACCCTATCCGGGTTCTCCCACTTATGACAACCACCCACCCGCCCACCCACCTCTGCCAGGGGAGGAGCCACTTCTAGGCTTTTGGTCTCTGGACCAAGGTGGCTTCAGGGTCCAGGCCCTCCGTAGAAGGGATGCTGGCTCTCTGCTCTGCCCCAGTGTGTGGACCCTGCGTTGTCTGGTGGACAACAACACTGTTTCCATCCGTCTCCTTGGGCTCTTCCCCATGGCCAGCAGAGACATCCCTGTCCAGCCGTGCCCCAGCCCCCATGGTCCTGCTGTGTCACGTGCCCCCCTCACCAGTGCCCGTGGCCGATGGCAAAGGGGACTCAGCTGTCCAGGACTTTGCGGGCTCGTGATTTTTCTCCTTTTGTTCAGCTCTCTTGGTCACCCCACCTTCTCGACAGCCTCTCAGCATTGTCAGAGAGCCTCGGCAATGTGCCTACCCCCTCACCGAGGCTCTGACTCACCCCTTCAGAAGGCGGGGGCGGGCGGGCGGATGGACGGACGCAGCCAGCCCCGAGGGGAGAAACCTTTGACAGTGTCGCCATTCAGGCCCCCGCTCATAGAAAGCCTTTCAGCTGCAGCCCTTCAAAATATGATTAGACCAATTTTACATGTCTAGTCACTGAGGCTCGGTGGATTGGGCATTTCTATATGTGCAGAGTGAAGTGGAGAATTGAGGCAAT